TAAAAAATAAATAAATAAATAAATAAATAAAATCACTGTCACTTCACACCTGTCAGAAAGGCTAATATCAAAAACACAAGAAGCAACAGGTGTTGGCAAGGATGTGGAGAAAAAGGAACCCTCATGCACTGTTGGTGGGAATGCAAGCTGGTACAGCCACTCTGGAAAACAGTATGGAGGCCACTCAAAAAGTGAAAAACAGAACTACCCTGCGATCCAGTAATTGTACTACTGGGTATTTACCCAAAAAATACAGAAACACTAAATCACAGGGACCTACGCACCCCTATGTTCATTGCAGCATTATTTACAATAGCCAAACTATGGAAGCAGTCCAAGTGTCCACTGATAGATGAATGGATAAGAAGTGGTCTATTATTCAGCCATAAAAAGAATGAAATCCTGTCATTTGCAACAACATGGATGGAGCTAGAGAGTATAACGCTAAGCAAAATATGTCAGTCAGAGAAAGACAAATACCATATGATTTCACTCATATACGGATTTCAAGAAACAAAACAAATGAGCAAAGGGAAAAAAGAAAGAGACAAACCAAGAAATGACTATTGACTATAAAGAACAAACTGATGGTTACCAGAGGGGAGGTGGGGAGGGGACGGGTGAAATAGGGGATGGGGACTAAGGAACGCACGTATGATGATGAAAATAAATAAATAAATAAATAATAAAATACAATGAACAAAGGGAGACGAATCTATGAACATGTATGTTTTTATGAATGTTTGTAAATGCATTTAAAAAATCACCAGACTAGTTTTAATTGTCTCTGAGGTGAAGGGTAAGATCAACAGGATAAAGGCTGATTTTACTTTTGATAGTTTAGGTTTTATATTTCTTGAATCCATCTGAATTTGTTGATGTCCTGCTTACAGGATTTTTAAGAAAAACATACATTGTTCTTAAGTGGTGCTCATACAATAGATCTAGAGAATTAACTGTATGCTTTATTAATTTATTCATCAAGAGTGTAAGTTCCTATTGTACATCAGGCAACATACTAGGTATCTCGTATGAAGCAGTGAATGAAACAGGCAGGATCCCTGTCCTTGCAAAGCTTACACTGTAGCTGATTCAGGCTGCAGTCTTCTCTGTGTCGGCTCCCCCATGCGTAAAAGATTCCTCACCTGCCCCGGAACAGTATCTCAGACCAACTTCCTGCACTTTTCATTACCTCATGCAGAAATACAAAAACTGAAGTATGGAGAGTACATCCACAAGCCGCCTCGAAACTACCATCTCCGCTTTACAATGCACTGCAGGTTCCCAAATGCAGCAGGGAGAAAATACCGCGTCAGTGAAATGGGTCTCTTGGGTTGCCCCTGAAGCCCCCAAACACTTTCTGTGACTGTTTCTATGGGGGAAAATGTCCCTCTGGTTCTAAACATCTGACTTGGCAAAGGCACTGTTAAAGCATCCTCTGAGAGCTGTTGACCGCCTGGACTCAGGCAACTGCTAATTCAGACAGCTTTTAGGCCCCCACACAGAAGTTCCTGCACACACACTTTATGGCTGGATTCTTCCTAGGACCCTCGCTTAAGGCCCAATAATCAGGAGAGAACGCCAGCCTACAGGAGTGGTTTTGGAGGCCCTCCCACCGGTTGGAATCTCAACACCAGACTAGGCTTTAACTACAAGTCTGCCCACACTAGTAGCAGTAAATTGAATTCAGGCTTCTGAGCAGTCTCTGAGGCAAAGTGTTTACATTTCACTGCAGACCCTATTTTCTCTTTTCTTTTTTTACACATGCAAATGAAAATTCCCCAATTTTCAGCTGCCAGGACAGCTGAATACTGTCATCAGAAAAACTAAATGCTTGTGTCAAAGAAGGAACTTTTTAGAAATTCCTGTGCATCTTGAGGCAAAGAAAAAAAGGCTGTTGACAATTTATCTTTGCTACAGGATGAATGTACTTATATAACACATGGTTTTTCGTGGCTGAGAACGACTCTAGCCCAAGGGAGCCAGAAAATTCTCAGGGATTAGAGAGAGGCATCATGACTGCTCACTGAACATCCAGCTCCAAAGTTACTCCCAACTTCATCAACCCAGGTGACCTTGGGTAAACCACTTGACCTTCCCATGCACTTTCACATTCCATTTCTTTCCTCATGCTGCTCAATTTGCTAGAATGGCTTCCTTGATCTCTCCTCCAAGTCTCAAATTCTTAAAAAATGCTGTCCTCTGAGGCCTTTCCTGATTTTCTTAAGCCAAATCAGCTTTTTTCCTCCTCAGATTCCCTTTCTTGATTATCCATACCTCCATTATATCATTTATCATATGGTATTACTGTTGCACATTTATCCCATTTATTTCATTTATCACGTTATTTTGTGGCCATCTTGGGTATCAGGCCATATGTTACTCCTCCTCCTCCTACTAATCATATTAATAACATTGTTAGGAGAATTATGAGTACTTACTATGTGTCAGGCCCTAAAAAAATACATCATCTCTAGCTGTCACAAAAGCCCTATGAGATGGATGTTATTCCTTTTTTTTTTTTTTTTACAGTTGAGTAAAATAAAACCAAGAGAGATTATACAAATGGTTAGTAGTGGCAATGAGAGTCAAAATAGAGTCTATTTTACCTTAAAGCCCATGCTTTTAACCACTACCTATAAATAATAATGGATAATATTTGCTACGTGCTTACTAGGTGTTGGGATCTCTACTATGTGCTCTACACACATTAGCTAATTTGATCCTCACAAAAACCCTGTGATGCAGATACTGTGATTGGGATCTCAATTTTTTAAAAAATGAAATTGAAGTTCAGAGTGGTTAAACGACTTGCCCAAGGTCACAGAACTGTGGAGGCTAGATTTAAATAAAGGCCAGTCTCCCCCAGAGCCTGAGTCCTTATCCACTATTCTATTTCATGACCAGAGAGTAGAATTTTCTTTATTCTTTGTAAACACTGCACAGGTTTTCAAGAACAACCCCCTGGAAACAAAACACTGGAGGGGTACCCGTTCCGAGTCATGCAAATAAACAAAATCTATCAAGCCCCTAAGCACTCACCTTAGCACATGTGTGGATCCATTAATGGTTGTGGTTGAACAGGGGACAGTCTGGCCCAGAATGGAGGGTCTTCGGTAGCGCTCATCATCACAGCAGAGGATGATGAGGAAGGCACGTCTAAAAGACTTATTCAAGAAGGCATAGAGAAAGGGGTTCAACCCAGAGTTGATGTAACCAAGCCAGAGGAAAGCGGTCCACACCTGTCCAGGAACGGTGTAGTCTATGAATGGATCCACGATATTGGTGACAAAGAATGGAGCCCAGCAGAGGCAGAAGCAACCCATGATGATGCACAGGGTCTTGGCTGCTTTGGTCTCTGTCCTCATGCGATGAGTGCTGTGCTGGTCGGCTGGCTGGGACCTGCCTTCTGAGGAGGCTCCTGCCCGTTGTAACATCTGGATCTGGTGGGCATGCTCCTTCGCTGTGACGTAGATGCGGTAATAGGCCAGCACCATGAGGAGAAATGGGATGTAGAAGGCCACCACAGAGCAGGTGATGGCGTAGGGCTTGTTGACCATGAAGATACAGTACGTAGAGTTAGAGTTCTGGTTGAACTTCCTTTTTTCTATCTGAGAGTTGGAGGGAGAGAATAAATGAGGAAAGAAGGGAGAATGGGAAGGAAAAAGTGAAGAGAAAGAAGCAGGAGGGGAAGGAGGAAAATTGTGAGAAAAGAAAAAGGATGAAAAAGCAAAGGAGGGATTGGAAGGCAGAAAGAAAAGGAGGGAACAAGGAAGGGCAGGAAGGAAGGGGAAAACACAAGAGGAAAAAGAGGAGGAAAGAGAGAAGAAGGTTTATCAGCCAAGTTCTCTTTTCCTAATAAGCCTATAGCGCATAGAACCACGAAGGTAGAAAGGAATATGATTGCATCCTGGGGGGCAGAGGGACTGTCTCTGCACAGGGGGTTGAAGGCCCCAGGGAAGAGGAGAAATAACATAGGGACAAAATCATCCTTCAATCTCTGTACCCAACTGAGAGCTGAGTTAGCGTCTCCTCCCTTCCCCCTCTGCCTGCACACAATATATCTGGTAGTAAAAGTCTTTGAACTGTGGCCTGTCTCTTTCAAGACTGTTCTTACATCTCAGCATTTCCTATATAAAATTTAGAATTAGCTTATCAATTTCCATACAGATCTTTGGGGATTTTGATTGGAGATAGAGTAGAATGATTGAGGAAAACGGATTTCTTTCCCATGGTAAGCCTTCCATTTCACAAACATGGCAATTCTTTCCTTTACTTAAATCTTTTAAAATGTATTTCAGTAATATTTTACAATTTTTTTTCTGTAAATGTTTTGCACATCTTTTGTCAGATTTATTCCTAAGTATTTGACTTGCTATCCTATTGCAAATGGTACAACCTTAAAGTCCTTAATCCTAATTGTTTGTTGTTGGTATGTAGAATTCGGTGAAAATTTTTTTGTATGGCAATGTATCCAGCAACTCTGTTAAATTGTTATTAATATTTCGTCTCTCGATTCTTATTACTTTTCTTCGTAAGTACCCATCTGATCTCCAAATAATAAAAATTTCACTTCATCCTTTCCAATCTTAATCCCATTTTTCTTGCATTATTGAACTTGGTAAGACCTCAAGTGTAATCCTAAATAGAAGAGGTAATAGTGGACACCATTTTACATTCTCAGTTCTAGGAGGGGAGTTTCAATATTTTACTATGAAGTATGATACTTGCTGGAAGTTTTTTATGGATGCTCTCTTCTATTTTTAGTTTGATGAGAATTTTTTAAAATCATGGATACCGAATTTTGTTAATGAATTTTTGGCAGTAAAGAGATGATCATGTGGGTTTTCCCTCTTTCTTTTATTAATATGGTGAATTACAGTGATTGTGTTGCATTCCTGGAATAAGCCTCACTAGTATTAGATACTGTGATGCACTGAACCTCTTTTAAAGATTGAAAGACTCTTCTCCCCACTATAAACTCTGTCTGCTGACAGCTCTGAGTTATCAGCCCTGCCTAGAAATAGCCCTTGGCTGAAGAGAGCTGTATAATCCAATGACACCTCCCTGTCTGAGGTCAGCCCTCGTCCAGTGTGACTATACACATGAACAAATGTATGAATAACATATGATACACACGTATGGTATTTTATTTGTGTGTTAGTGTCTTATCTCATAGCATATTATAAGATTATAGTATACCTTCTTATTGAATTGACCTTTTTCTCATAATGAAATATTTCTCTTTACCTCGAGCAGTATGACTTGCCTTAAATGTATTTTATCACTGATAACAGTACAGCTACACCAGCTTTCTTCTGATCAGTGTTTGCATATTATATATTATTATATGTATGATAATATATATATTATTTTATATCAACCTGTCACCTTGCATTTCATGGGCCTCTCTCACAAGCAGCATATATTATGTATTGACTAGGTGATAAAAATATTGTGACCAGAACCTGCAAGAACCTAACCCTGTATTTCTCCTAGGAGCAAAGAGTATTTGCTAATTTGGCGCTTGTGGCAACTTTATAGAACGTACTTACTGCGACTGGTGAGAATCAACTGCCTCTGTATTGTGAACACATGGGTTGTGCTAGCGTCTCTCTAGGCCAATTCAATGTGCAGATGAGTGGAAAGATGCAAGGCCATCACAGCACCACAGAGCAAATACTAGGCATGTTCACAGCAAGCAGATGCCCCATTCCCCAGGTGCATGAAGTAGAGAGGGGATGCCTCTATGTCCCTCCACAAATGCACAGCAACTCCATTCTCTAATTAATTTCCCTTAGAAACTCTATATCCAAAGGTAAGACTGCTGCACTCTTTTTAAAAGTGCCCATGTACGAAAGCTTATGCTTCCAAATGTCTTCTCCATTAGGGAGTAAGTTTAGCACAGAGATTAAGAGCATAGACTCTGGAATGCAGCAAGCCTGGGTTTAGCCAGAGTCACCACCACTCCCTGCCAATCTGACGTTAGCTAATAACTTAAGCTCTCTCATGCTCCGTTTCCTGACGGCACTGATAGGATCAACCTCATGGCATTGTTGTGAGGCCTGAGTGAGGTTTCACAGAAATGATGATTACGTGAACCTGGACTCGGCAAACAGTAAGTGTTCAACATTGGTTGGTCATAATTATTACTCTGCTGGTCGTCGGAAACTTGAATTTCATTTCCCTTGAGAATGGTGAAATTGGAAGTTGGAAAGAAGAAGGATAGGATTCAAGAAAATATCCATACAGTCTCCCTGGTATGAATCCCCTTTTACTTCTCCACTCCTTTGTCCCCAGCATTTCTTTCAGAAGCCCAAGGAACTCTTGTTCTGACATACCACATGCAAATCCTGGCCCAGCCTTGGCTTGGATATCCTTTCCTGGACAAAGAACAAGGCAAGATTAGGGGCTGGGAATGTGGTGGAGAGAAGAACAGGCAGCTCCTACTCTAACTGGTCTTGTTGGGCTGGAGCCTGCTCTCAATCTCTCATCTCCAGTCCCCTTCCTACCTCAACATGGTCCCTGTTGCAAAGTGACTGCCTGACAACCACCTTAGGGAATAGATTTCGCTGCCGGTGAACCCCACCATAACTTTTGATCTTCACTGCAACTTTGGTACTATCAACATAGTGTGTCAGAGCCGGAAGACTCTTGAAGATCACCTGGACAGGGGCCGGCAAATGCCTGGCACACATGCTGCTCTCCGACACCCCTGCAAGACACACTCTTCCACTGAAGACCAATGCACCTTCTCATTGCAGTCCTTCAGGGTCAGGGACAGAGCTGGGCTCACGGTCCAGTTCTCTCAACTCCCGGCCCAGAGTTCTCTTCATTTTCTGGAAGCCTCCACCCATGTGACATGTTTTCTGCTGGTCACTGGAAGCCATGAGATAAGGTGAAGGCCACTTGGGGCACCTCACATACCTCAGGCTCTGTAGTCCGAACGCTAAGCTTTGAGCACCTGTTCTGCTATTTACTGGGCATGTTATTTCACCCTTTTGCACCTTGCTTTTCCCATCTGGACGAGATGAGAGAAGGATGTTTTCAGGATTCTATGTAAAGTCTGAGCGTCCTTTCTGGCATACAGCAAACATTCCAAAATGTTAGCTTGCATTTTTTTGGTTGTTACTGCTGTCACTCCAACCACTATCAGAATCTTTCTTAGAATAGCCACCCAACCTGATATTATTTGTTTATTTAGAATCCCAAGCAAATAAACTTCATCAGAGAGTAAAGCAGCAGGGTCTGCAGAGGTACTCACCAAATCAATTATGCCAATATTATTCCAGCCTTGCATTATAGGGAGAAAAGAGATAAACATAGGGATGACCCAGCAGCCTCCCAGCATTAATGCGATGCGCAGAGGGGTCATCTTGTTCCTATAGACCAGAGGCTGACAGCAGATGGCATAATACCTGGAGAGAGAACAGAAGGCGTGGGTGCCATGGGAAAGGAGGAATGAGAGGGAGAAAGAGGGAAGAATGATTGAGGAGAAAGAAGAGTGGAGAAGGAGCAGAGAGGAGAAGGGGTGTAAGAAGAGGAAATATTGGGAAAGAGGAAAATCGGAGCAGGGAGTAAAGAAGAAAAATAAACAAGGAATAAAAGAGAAAACAATGGGGGGAAAGCAGAGAGAGTGGGTAACAGAGGAAGGGAAGATGACACCAGGAAAGGACAGAGGAAAGAAACAAGGAATTACAGAAGGAGATGTGATATTGGCCCATGAGTTCTGCAGACATAAATATCAACCTTAGATCACATCTGAGAGTCACTGCTGGACTTGGCCCCGCATCTCTCTTCCTCTCCCTGTCGCTGAGAATCTTGATACACACCTGGGGGCCTGCTCTGTCTCAGGCGTTGTTCCAACACTTACCTTCATGCCTGGGCACTTCGGAATCTTCTGTCCAGCCCTCTGGACTACGGCGTCCAGGCATCTGTGGCCCCCTTTGATAACAAGGTGAAGTCTCCCAGGTTTGGCCCTACATCTGAGCTCTAAGAACTGGATCTCAGATTTGCCCCCATCCTCTTGGTCATCTGGCTATCCTGAGGTGAAGTTCTAAGTCAGTGTTCCAGAGACTCCACTCTTCTCCCCTGCATCAGACTCACCTGAGGAGGCCTATTTAAAATGCAGATTCCAAGGATCTCCTGAATCAGAGTCTGTTGGGGAAGGAGTTTGTATTTTGACAAGTGGAAGTCATTGCAGCTGCTTGCTAAATATGTCCAGCTCCCCCTTCTGGGCACATGTACTTCCTGGCCTCATTGTGGTTGGATGGAGCCAAGTGACTGGTCTGGCCAAGGAGTTGTAAACAGGGTTGACATGCATTACTTCTGGACTAGGCCATTTAATTGTTTCTTTGATGCCAAGAATGTAAAGTTTCAAATATTCCCTGCTCCATCGTGTCCTACCTACTGGTAGAGACCACCTCGCCCTCATTTATCTGGGTCTGCTCTCCCTCATGGGACTCACTGCTTACCAGTTTTTGAGTCCATGTTCTGCCAATGTATTAGCTTTCTTCTTTCCTCCAAATAGAGATGCAACCTGCTCCACTCAGTGATCTGGTCTCTAACTCCCAGACTGCTTCTTGCATGTTTTTCTAGTCTTGGAGATCACCACTCCCATGCCCAGCAATTCAGGGAATTTGACAACAGGCAAAATACTCCAGTAGACCTATCAGCTATTTGTCTTTGGAAGTGTCAAAGAATAAGTGCAAACGAAAGCCTGGGTGATAAGTCTATTCTTTAAGATTTTATACCATTTAATGATGAGACACCCCCATATATCCCTCGTTTTATGCAATCTGCTTTAATTTTTCCCACCTCTTCTTTTCTTTTCTTAATTCAAAGCATAACTAACATAACAATGGCTATGTTCTTTGAAGAGGTGGTGGTAGGATGAGTTGGGAAAGAGGGTGGAATAAGGAGAGCCCCCTCAGTGTCGGAACATGAGAAGTGGGTGCCTCAGGAGCTGAGAGGGGAGAATTATACATTTCCCTCCAAGGCATCAGGGAGCAGCTGACCATAACATGCCAGGAGGCTTCCTGTGGCCAGCAACACAAGCGGGTGTCCTGACCTGGATCAGAGTACAAGGAACAACAGACCAAAGAATGGGAGAAAGGCTCACTTGGGGAACCCATTTTCTCTATCTATAAAGCTGATATGATAGCAAAACATAACTAAAGGTAGTGCAGTAAAAGAATCATGATTAGCTGGAATTCCCTCCATGATCTTGACTTATAAGAAAGGCAAATCATATCAGAATGACAAATTTTTCTGAATGGCTGTATTAATAATCATCAGGGTTTTATTATGTACATAGAATTAATCATGAATTTAGAGTATATGAAAATATTTTTTAGTCTCAAATTGTGCTCCCTTCCTCATTTCCTGCTAGAGGGTCTAAATTAGACATTTGGTTTTATCCATTTAGCATCCTTCATCCTTTCTTTTGGTAATAGCATCCCAAAGCCTTTGGGAATTATCTCTTCTCTGTTGCTTTCGTGTTGTTGGGAGAGGAAATGATGGTGCTCCCAACTTTTCCGGCCACGTAGTGACCCAATCAGACTTTCTCCTGGGACTCTGAATGCCATGTGGAGTGATGCAAAGATGGGGAAGTCAGTGGAGGTCCTTTGATACAGCAGCCTCCTAGTGGGGCTGGGAGTAGGTCCTGCCTGCTTCTTGGATCGTTGGGCAACCACGCTCTTGCCTTTTTAGGTCTTCTTGCTTCAACTTTTCCTTCAATTAAGTAAGTCACCACATATCTTTCCAATAAATTCCTTCTTTGTTTAAGCTGGTGTCACAGATTGAGTTGTGTCCCCTCTCCCTTTCCTAACAGGTATGTTGAAGTTCTAACCCTCAGGCCCTTGGAATATAACCTTATTTGGATACAGAGTCTTCACAGAGGTAATAAAATAAAAATAAGGCCATTAGTGTGGGCCTTGATCCAATATGGCTGATGTCCTTAGGAAAAGGGAAATTTGGACACAGATTCAGATATGCTCAGAGATGGAGGATTGGAATGATGACTCTGCAGGCCAAGGAACACCAAAGACTGCCAGCAAACCACCGAAAGCTAAGAAGAACCAAGGAAAAATCCTTCCCCTACAGGTTTCAGAGGAAGCATGGCTTTGCTGACACCGTGACTTCTAGCTTCCAGAACTGTGAGACAACACATATCCTGCTCCAAGCACCCAGTTTGTGGTACTCGTTATGACAGCTCCAGCAAACTAACAAAGTTGGCTAAAGTCAGTCTCTTGCCAGCAAAGTTTCCTGCCTCAGTAAAAATGGTTTTGAATGTCAGACATGTCCTTCATAGATACTTTGTTCTAAGCAAGACTATCTTTGATTCAACATACTTTCAAATCATAGCTCAAAGTTATAACAGCCCTTCATCTACCATCCCAAAGAAGGTGATGGAGGGCTAAGTGAAGAACGGATGTTTCCCTATCTTTGCTGTATAATTTATGATTTTTGAGGTTGGAACAGATGATAAGCGAAGACAAGATTTCAGGAATTTTGGTTGGATCTCCAATGTTACAGAAATCCAAAAGTTCAAAAGACAAGGCAAAACTAAGGAACTTGTGGGACAAGAGGTAAGTTTGAGGAAGCAGGATATCTTAGCTGCAAAGAGTCTTTAAACTTTCATATGTGGATACAGATATTTAGAGGGTCATGTTGGGAAGACAACAGAATTTACAGAAGAAGACTTTAGAATATATAGTTATATTGGTGCTCAGAACATTTTTGTGAAAGTCTTTCTAAGTCTTGCTTGGCCAGGGTGATCGCCTGATGAATTGCATGATGAATATCCTGTGCACAATAAAATCTCCTCATGTTCAAAGTGGGTGGAAGGATGGGCAAAATAGGTGAAGAAGATTAAGGGATACAAACTTCCAATTATAAAAAAAATAAGGCATGGGAATGTAAAGTACAGCATAGAGAATATGGTCAATAATATTGGAATAACCATATATTGGAATATATGGTTGGAATAACCAGAATTATTGTGGTGATCATTTCATAATGTAAGTTTCAAGTCACTATGTTATACATCTAAGAGTAATATAATATTGTATTTCAACTATGCTTCAATAAAAAATAGTTAATTAGATTTATTTTTTTAAAAAAATGATCTCTCCATGGTCTGCTGGTCCAATGTTCTCACTTTATTTGCATTACCCTTGGTTACTAGGAGCTCCTGCCACAGAGAAGTAAATAGTGGTGGTAGATTTCCTTTTGCAGTTCAACTTCAAGGGGGATACTGTGGATGTCATACACATTTTACCGATCTTTTCCCCATTTGACCTATGCAGTCAGTATGCTGGACAATGGATGCCTGAAAGAAAGTTGCTTGGATAGCTCATTCCATAGGGGCTCAGGTGGGATGCATCCGTGGTCTCTTGCACAGATAGTTGTAGAAAGTTACTCTTGCATGATGTGGGGTGGTTGGGTAAGCCTGAGAAAAGTCCTTTATCTCCTACTTTAAAAATCAGCAATCAGTAAAAGGAAAAGAAGAATTTTATTTTTATTTAAATTGTATTGGCTAAGTTGCAAGGGATATGTAAGGATGAATAAGAAAAATACCAAATTTTGTCTACATATCTGTTGGACTTGAATCTTCCCCTCTACATCATATTCAGCCTGATGCTGTCTTATGATAGACAAAATTTGATTTTTAAGTGCCATGGAGTAGAAAATATGAGGCTTTTATTTGGAGCTCAGATCATACCAGCCACTTGACTGATGGGTTCAACATTCTTACCCAGGCTTTGGCACTCTTGAGGCAGGTGCCCTGAATAAGCCACAGTATATGCTTCTATCCTTCCTGATAGCTTTTGAATCTTTGCTTTCTAGCCATGAATCGAGAAAAATAAACATCCTTTTGAAGTCTGCAGTCAAGAATCTAAATTAAGTAGGTGAAGATAAACATCACTGAATAAAATGATTAATAAAAATTGAGTCCGAGTGTTAATTGACTAATGGAGTTTCCTTAAAAATTCTAACCTTTGTCTACTGATCAGGGACCAAACAGAAATCTAATAACTTGACTGTTACCTGTCATGGTTGCTTTTTAATTCCTATATTTGAATTATATTACCCCTGCAAATAACAAAAATATTTATCCTTTCATGAACTGCCCCCAAAACACACATAACAACACCACTAGGCAGAAGTAGCTGACTTAATAGTTACTATACATTTACTTACCAAGGGCTCTCCCTGTATTATCTCATTTAGTCCTCACAACTACTCTTGAGACAGGAACTATGAAGGCACTCATTATATAGATGAGGAAACAAACACACAGAAATCTCAGAATGTGCCCAAGGTAAGAGCTGAGCTGGGATCTAGTCCAGGCAGTTTAACTCAAGGGCCATAACGTCAACTTCTTCACTATCACTTCACTCTGCCACCTTCCCTA